ATAAGAAACAAAATTAACAAGCATACTGGCACTGGTCAATTTACAAACACTGCCTTCTCTAAACCATTTAGGTAATGGTTTAGAGAAGGCAGTGTTTGCTAACTATGTTTGTAAGTCTTTATCAATCGCAATGCTCTCAACGTTAGGAGTAACATCCCCGTCGTCGAAATAAATTCGAAGAAATAACACACGGTTATCAACTCGTTTAAATGAAAATCCTGCTGGACAAAAACTTTCATTAAGATCTATAATGCTTTTAATTGTATCATGTTTTCTAAAATCGTATGTTTCATCGAGCAAAGGATGAGAATATATACGAACTGCAGGGGGCTTACGTAAAGCTGAGCTTGATTGAATTAAAGATGGCTTTGATAGGATGTTTTAGTTGGTAATAATTGCTGGTATAGGATTTTCGCAATAATTCAATGTTATACGTTTACCTCTTTTCAAATATTTATCTTCAAAATGATCGATACATATAACTGAGTTTTCTGTGGGGCTCCAATCAGCTCGGTTGACAAACTTAATCCAACAATTTCGAAGATCTAACTGATTGCAATCAGGAAAACTAAACACAGTTTTGTATGTTACGTGGTTGCTGTTACTGGAACATTCTTCAATCTTTCGCTTATAATTTCTTCTACAACCAACAACACGACACTTTTTTGGCATTGCAAAATAAATTATGACTTGAATTATAAAAATTTAATATAAGATTGTTAAATCGGTTTATTGTAAACTTCAAACTCGTGTTTTTTCGGCCCACTAGTTTTTTGCGTTCAAGGCAACAAATCCGGCCGTGTTATATAGTAGGCCATGACTGCGTTGAATTTTAAAAAAGTTATATATAAGTTTAAATAAGTAATAAAAGTAACCACATATGGTTATTTTTACAACTTATTTAACTTAATTTGCAGTTTTTTTAAAAAGAAATTAACAAAAAAATTTTAATTAAGTCTACGCTATAGATAACTTTACTTATTAAGCTTTAGTAAATATTATTGAAAAATCAACTTCTAATAGTTATTTATATTTCATTATATAACGTACTAAATTCATTTTTTACTAATTTGTTACTATTATTGTTATTAGAGGAGAGTGGGGAGAAGTGGGACGCGGGAGAAGTAGGACACCCCTATAATTTTATTTCGCAGCAGCGCCTAATTACTGTTATTTAACGTAAACGTATAGATTTCATGTGCTCTTTTTATTAGACATCATTTCCCCTCCCTGCGCGTGGTGAAAACTCCTTTTTTTTAAAGTACCCCTAAAAAGTACTTTTGTTGACATCCTAGTAACTCATGTACTTATTTATTTTCGACTGTTGTTGCACTTATTTTCTACTTTATAGGGAAATGCACTTATCATCTAACATTTAGTAAAAAAATTTTAGCTTTAACTGTGTGGCTGTAATTTTAGTTTTATTCGTCTCCCTACATAGGGGTGAAGCGGGACAGAGAAAAAAGTCGCTGTTCCGCTTTTTCTTAACAGTTTTGCGTTATTTTAATGCGGAAATTTCTAGAACATTTTATCTACGATTTTTTATAGTTTTCAAAATAAAAATATTGATGCGTTTAATTGAAATATTTAGTTTTAGTTTTAGTTCTTATACAGTTGATTTAAAACAAAATTTGTAAAGAGAGATGTTTGTTAAAGATAAATTTGATTTGATTCATCATTATTGTTTGGAGCAAATTCAGAGGTCTTTTTACATCAATAATTTAAAAGCATTTGGAAAGCAAAAGGCATGCATAAAAGTTTTTTTAATCTTAAATACAATTATAATTTCGTAATAGTCTGATAAAAGATATAGTATTAACAGTAACCTTAATACCATTACATATAAATATTTTTTTTAACAAACTTAATTTCTTTTAAATTTCAGGTCATGTCTAGAGTTTATAAAAGGAAAAGTGAAACTCCACATGTTTGGTAAGAGCATCAGCATTTAATCGGTATACTATTGATACTTTCTTTAACAAATTACAAGAAGGTATATCAGAGTATAAAGCAACATCGTTTAAAATTTTTAATCTTGATATGACAGGTTTTACTACTGTACAAAAAACTCCTCGTGCCATTGCATCAAAGGGAACAAAGCAAGTCGGGTAAATAACATCTAAAGAAAGAGGTGAATTAGTAACTGTGTGTTGCATTGTCTCTGCAGCTGGTGTAGCAATACCCCCTGTTATTGTTTTTCCAAGAAAATTATTTAGAAACCCACTAATGAGAGGAGCCCCAGAAGGTTCTATTGGATTAGCCAATCAATCTGGATGGATGAATGCTGAAATATTTATTGATGTTTTAAAGCATTTTGTTAAGCTTGCTCAACCAACAGCCGATCACAAAGTTTTAGTAATTATGGATAATAATGAAAGCCACCTTTCACTACAGTCACTTGAATATGCAAAAGAGAACCATGTTTGTATGACCACATACTTCACATAAGGCATAACCTTTAGATAGGTCTGTTTTTGGCCCAATTAAAACATATTTTAATGCAGCTGCCAATATCTGGATGCTTAGCAATCTAGGAAAAGTCATTACAATTTATGAGATGGCCAGTCTCATTTGACAAGCATGGGGAAAATCTTCCACACCAACAAATATTATGTCAGGGTTTCGCGTGACCGGAATTTGGCCTTATGATAGACATGCATATGGGGATAATATTTTTTTACCATCAGTTGTAACAGATAGAGATGTGCCTCAAGAATCATACAGTGAAGGCTCATGTGAGAAATCAATTACAACTGCTACTCCTTCAGATATCTCAGGTTTGGATGCGCAACATGAAGTAGTAAAAGAAAACTTAATTGTATTTTCTCCAGAAATTGTACGAGGTTATCAAAAGGTAATTTAAACTAAATATTCTTAGTTTAGGTTTTCTTTAAATTCTATAGTTATATAATACTATAATATATATTTTGCTGGCTCCTTCTCGTAAGGTTTTAAGACGTGGACGTAAAAAGGGTTTATGATAGCCACATCAACACCAGAGATTTTAAGAATAAAAGTTGAATTAAATAGAAAAAAAAGTAAAAAAAAATTGTCTTTCTAAAATCCAAAAATGTGAGGAAAAACATGTTATGCAAATCGAACAGTGACCTTGATGTAGATTTCAACAAAATAACAAATGATGTTTCTGCTAACTCTTACTCGTTAGAATTTGAAGAAGAATTGGAAACTGTTTGTTTAAGCACCATTCAAAATGTGAGTGTCAGTGATTATGTTCTTTGCGAGATTTGTAGTAAAAACACCAGTTCTTTATTTTGTAGGCATAGTGCAGAAACAAATAGACACAAACTTTTATGTAGAGGTCAGCTTCCTGAAATGCCAGAATAAAAAAACTTCTAAATTTGTCAAACCTAGAATTAATGACATTCGTAGTGTGAATATTAATGATATAAAAGCAGTCCTGCCTCAACCGCTTGCTGGAACAACATCAAGAACAAAAGCTGAAATCGTTTTCCAAGTAAACTTTGGCATCCTAAATGTAAAATAACTTTTTTTCATTTTTTAACATATAAATTTTAATTATTTAAATGTAATCTTAATTTGATGGAAAAAGGCATTGATAATTTGATTTTTTTTCTTATTATTAACCACTCCAAGGGGGCCACCTCAGGCGAGGAGGCTGCGCATTTTTTTTGCATTTTTAAATATTTTCTTATTGTGGTTACAATCCTCTCTTAAACCCTTTAACTCCGAAACACGAACCTTTGCAAACAAAGCACGCTGTGCAGAAAAAGTTGAGCGTGGTATGGGACGTGGTGGGATTCCAACACTAAACATCTTGCTTATAAGCCAAGCGCTCTACCACTACACCACTGCCGCGTTTAATTTAAACTAAACTTAATTTTAAAATCAAAATTAGCTCAAATTAACATTTAATTAGATTTGAAGTTGTTTTTATATAGTTCCACATCTTCCCCAAATGTCCCGCTTCTCCCGCACACTTGTCCCACTTCTCCCACACTTATCCCACTTCACCCCAATAGCAGGGTTCCTCTAAACCCAAAAAACATATACTTTATTAAAACATTCTGTCAACCTTAGAGGATGAATTCGGTGTCCCAAATACTGCTTTATTTTTTAAGACTAGTTTGGATCAGTTCACACATCAATTAAAAAAGATATTGCAATTACCCTGAAAAAAAAATTCGTGTCCCACTTCTCCCCACTCTCCCCTATAATTATTATTATATTTATTATTGCTATTATTGTTATTATTATTATTATTATTACTATTTTATTAAACATCTTTTGTAAATATGTTTACAAGGTGAAAATACATAAAAATAGTTTAAGATGTATAAAAAGAGAATAAAATAGATCACTTCGGAATGTTTTCTTCAAGGGTATATCTGAAAGTTGTTCGCTGTTGATAAGTATCTTGAGGAATTATATTTTCTAAAATGCTAATGTTCACTTTCTTCTTAACCTGAATTACGGTTTTCACATTTAGTTTATGGATCTTACATATTTCCTTTATGTCATCTAAATATAGATATTTTACAGAACAATATTTTAGCTGAGAATTGATGATTTTAAAAGTTACTTGAAGTAGTTATTTGAAATCAATATTCTCTTAAAGCACAAGACGTAAAAAAAACAATTATTGAACATCTTTTAAACATTTAGGACGTCTTTTGAACTTTCAAAAGACATCTTTTTTAAGTCCCATGGCTACTTGGTTGGTAGAAAAAAATTGCTTAGGGTTTAAATTTGTGAATGCAAATATATGCTTATAAATGTAATCTTAGTATTATTTATACTTTATTTGAATTGATCTGTGTATACACAGATAAAACTACACAGATAAAAGATAAAAAATTATGTATATTACATGTAATATATATAATTTTTATTATAGTTTTTATTAATATTATTTGTTGATATTGTGAAGTATGTTATATTATGCAGGAAATGAGAAACCAAAACCACTTTTTACAACATTAAAAATGAAAGAACTTGAAAATAAAACTTTGTTAATTTAGGAAGAAATGAAAACAAAAATGGCCATTCCCAAGGATGAAAAGGTAAGAAAATACTTGAAATAATAAATTATTTGGAAATGAATTAAAAATCCCAAAAAAATGTCTATAAAATGCAATAACTTACAACTTACGCGTCGCATTTAAGATTAAGAATCCTTGAATTTTCGCTGAGCATTTAAAAGTGAAGTTTATATAAAATATATGGAAATAGCGAAAATGAAGACAAAATAGATAATAAATAATAAAAAAAAAACATAGAATAACAAATTTATTTTACCAACCGTTCTATTGGTTTTTGCTGCAACTGAGTTGATGTGATTTTCCAAGTTAATGTTGTTCAATACTAAATTTTATATGGTCATAAACTTTGAACGCTGAGAAATAATACGATGAAATTTCTCAACGAAAGTAAGTCTTGTGGAAATTGCACAAAAAATATTTAATCAACTTGTTGCTCTCACGTTTGGGACAGGAGGGTAACGAAAATTTTGGGGATTATTTGTTCCCAAGCTCCAATAACCGCAGTTTCTTCCAAAGCACATTTGAAATAAATATGATCGTATAAGTTAGATATCTCAAAAATCAAAAAATGCTAGATCCGCCCCTGGTTTATCAAGCAGAACTAATACACAATGTGCTTTTTTTTATTTTTTTTATTTTGAACAGACAATATGTATTCTGTGATACATAAAACAAGTACAACTTTATTATCAATATCACTGCTTTAGTTTGAAAGTTAGAACCAAAGTCCTTTTAAAACTTTATGGTTTTTCTCAGGTAAAGACTGTCAAAAAAGTAGTTTATAGTAAGTATGAATGTATACCATTTTAAAAGCTTTATATCTTATAGTATCTTTAGAATGCACAAATTGCAATTGAGAAAATGTCATTTTTTTAAAAATACAAAACGTAAATTAAAATGTTAATTAGTTCGTAATAAGTTTTTTACTTGCATTTATACACATTATGATTTTAATACACATACAATATGATTTGGTGTCTATTTTGAAATATTTTATCTTTACTAGTTTTGAATAAATGCAGGAAAGTACGTATACCATGGAACAATAAGACGCTTGAGCGTTCAAGTGTTGCTTGGTATACGCATACTTTCCTTACTGTTTCTTGAATTTTAAACAGATCAAAGCAAGTTGTACTGAATAATTAAAACACTAAAAACCCACAATAGGAAAAGAACCGCATACATTTGTTCTGGCGTAACATTTTTTCTTGTATGCAACCTGGATTTTTAATTCATATGGCCTAGTCTTTTTAAGATGATAAATTGTTATATATAAAAATATGATGTATAAAAAATATGACCAAAATCTGACAACTTAATTGATTTTTTATCCAATGCAACAAAAGTAAAATTTGCAATTTTTAACACTTGTTTTGAATATAATATTCAATAGTTTATAAAATTTTTTTTTGGAATAGTAATTATGTATTTATTTATATTAATGTGTATATTGTAAACGAAAATTAATTATAAAACCTAAAGAATTCTATACTTTTTATTGTTTGCGTACTATGAACTGTGGTTTAGCTTTTACATACATTTTAAAGTTACCAGTAAATCAGTAAAAAATTCACAATTTATGGGTATTGGTAAATTTGGTAAAAAAATTTAAACAGTCATAAAAACTTATATATATATATTTTTTTTAAATAAAATCTTTATAAGATTTAGATCTAATACTTTTTTAAATAATTTAAATATTAATAAAAATGAGCTTTGAGGAAAAGTCTATCAAGAAAGTTGTCATTCTGAATCAAATTTTTGATCCAGAATGACAACTCAAACACAATTCTTATTGGAGAAATATGTTCAATATTCGATGTTTGGTTCAATGCAGAGTCTCCAGTACTTTGAAAAAAAGTTCTTTTGAATTGGTTTCGACTTTTTTATTTGATTTTTTGCGCTGTTTGTGCGTGAATTCTATATTGCATCCTCAAATTAAACTTTAAATAAAAGAGGGTTTTTGTCAAATTTTGTTGAGCCACACACTTCTTGAGTTTTAAGTTATGTGGATATGTTGGAAAAAACCTAGTCAACAAATCTTAAGCATTCTCTTAAAGTACAGACTTCGCAATCATTTTAAAAACTTTATGTTCTTCAATGTCGGATAAACATTATGGATTTGAAAAGTTTATGTACAAGCTTACAAGATTACTCACTAAACGTATCAAAACTGCACTCTTTATTGAAATGCAAAGAATTAAATTTTGTTGTTTTAGTCTGTTCACAAGAAACTTAAAAATTCCTTAAGCTGTAAGAAGGGTTGAATTTTGTTGACAAATAGCTCAGCTGCCAATTTGACTGGTTCAAGAGCAGCATCAACGTCGAATAAAGTGTTATCATCACTAAAAAAAAACTTTGTGATCACTGCCAGTCAAATGAGGAGAAACCTTTATCTTTAGAAATCTGTTAAACCAAAGGCTGTTTCATCTTGTTCTGCAGTCAAAGATACGTAAAACTTCTTTATCCGAGCTGTTTCTCAATCCTTTTTTTAATTTTTTAAGTCACATGACAATATTTTTGACTTTTGTAATGAAAGATTGCAAATGTCCATTCACTTTGGGATTGCGAACATTTTCATCCATGGAATTACCAAGAACATCAAAATTTTTCGGAAAGTGTTCTTGTATAGCACTTTTTGAACCCTAAAATGCATTTCCCGTGAGTGACACGTTTGATGCTCAGTTAAGACCAGTTTTTTTAACTTAACCATCATGGAAGTTCCAACCGTAACTGAGCACACAATGCTTTCATCAATGTTTAACCCACGTTTGCTTACTCTTTCTGTGACAACTGTTGCAACCTTTTCAGCCAGCAGAGATCCAGAATCAAGCCTAGATTTCAGTAATCGTGTTTTCGATGAATATTAATTTTCGTGCATCTTCATTTTTTCAAAGTAGTTTTTTCGTCCAGTGTAATCAAAAACCGTTTTTTAATGTTCAGTAAAAATCTTAAAGAGTTTACGGTTGTTTCTCACGCCAACTGCAAACCTTACATTTCATGTTTTGAAAACCTTTTAATGCTCAACTGCAAACCTTTTAATGCTCACCTGCTAATTTTTAAAAAACCATGCCTTTTTTTGCACATTGCAGGTCAAGTCAAAGAGCTTTTAATAACGACACGGAAAATAAATCCACCCAGTGCTGTAAGTCTGAAGTCGCTGCTTTAATTTTTTTTTTTTACTTAATGAGGAGCTCCCAGAAGTCTTTATGATGTTATCACAGAGCACCGCGGATATTTAACAAGGAAATTCACGCCTCTTTCCTCACCAATGTTACGTATTGGTCTAAAGTCGGCGTTGAACCTCCGAACTCTAATTGCTGTGCCACCGATGCTCAATTGGTTATTTGGGAAAATGTTCTTAGGTTTTTATAAAAATATAAATGTATAATTTATAAATGTTCTTAGGTTTTATAAAAATCATTATTTACCGAAATTTAGCGACATAATTTCAGTGGTATATTGATAAAATAATATAAACGATTAACCGATAAACTTTTTCGGTAGAAGCTCAACCCTACATTCTACAATTTACAAATGGATTTGTTATGTATGTAATAAAAGTGCTCTTGAAAAAAAATTGCTAATAATTTTGTTGAAATTTTTAAGTTTATTTATATTTAAAAAATAATCTATTTAAAAATATTGAATTAAATATTAGTTGTGCCCTTTCGAACCTGTTTGACACAGAACTCTTGGCAGCCATTGCAACCGAGGTAATAGCGGAAAAGAGTTGCAGCAGCTTTGTTTTATAAGAAAACGTGAACGAAAGTGTATGCAAATATCTAACGTACGTAAACTTCAAATTATGTAATGTTAAAACAGACTAAAACATGTGTTAAGTTTTATAGTTTTACTTTCGCTTAAAAATTTTTATATAGCTTTAAAATTTCAGTTGTCAACGTCCTAACATGGCGGAGTGGTTAGCGCGCTGAGCTTATAAGCAAAGAAGGCGTGGTTCGAGATCAACCACCGGCAACCTCTTTTTTTAATTTTATTAGATTTTTAAAATACAAATATTTGTGAAGTCTTATAAAGATTATATACAAATATATATATCGATATTATACACTTTAACAATTCAAACGATTTTTAAAAAGTTAAAAGTTCTAAAAACATTAAAAAACGCGGGGATATTTGTTGCGTATGTGTCATGGTTGAGATATCTATTTAGGGTTGCCAGACATCTCGCTGTTACGGAGGAGATACAGCGCCAAACCTGTAAAAATAAATATTTTACTGTGTTTTTCTTCTTGAAAGCTGGTTGTTTGGCAACCTATACTTATGTTATTTTATTTTTACATTTCAAGTTTTTTTGCAACTAAAAATCAAGTCTAAAACATGTTAATATATAGAATACAAAATCTATCGAACTGTAAAGATTTTTGCTTTGCTCTTTAAATAACAAAAACCTCAACAACATACTTTTAAAACAGCATACTTTTAAAACAGCAAGGGAGTTTAAAAAGTATGTTTTTAATATGAAAATAATTAAAAATTCCAATTTTATACTTAAACTAAATCATTTTGTTAAACTAAACATTTTTAAAAATTTATGACAGACAAAACTATGTCTTGTCACACATCACTAAACCTTTGAGTGATGATAAAAACCAGTTTTTAAACACCCGCCTAACTGGCGCGGAACTAAAAGAAGCCCTTTTTAAATTTGAAAGCGGAAAATCTCCGGGCTATGACGGATTTCCAGCTGAATTTTACAAAACTTTTTGGCACATTTTCGAAAAAGATTTTGAAGAACTTGCCTACGAAATTCTTTTTGTAGAAAAAAATACCAGCCGCTCTATGAAAAAATCAATAATTTCACTGATTCCCAAACAAGGAGATCTTACTAAATGCAAAAATTAGAGGCCCATATCTTTAATCGGCGCTGATTACAAAATAATTACAAAAGCGCTGGCCCTAAGAATTGCAAAAGTAATGGGGAAAATTAAAGAACCAAATCAAACTTGCGGAATTCCAGGTAGAAACATTTTTTCAAATTTACATCTAGTACGTGATCT